CAAATACTAATGCATGAAAATCCTAACCTCAAAAAAATCACCCGTTATAATAGGCAGGCAAGTATAACTACATAAATATACCCAAAAAAATATTAAGGTGCATAATAAACGATCAATACTGTGTACATATGTATATGAATCCATATTTATGCATGTTCAATCATGTATACATATGTGCACTTGCGTTACATTCAGCAGCTATTGCATATTCACTGCTCATACATTTTGGCACAAGTGGCTGCAATGCAAATCAATCACGCATAAGTTGGCGCCAGCTCAGTGATTCAATGGTTCGACGTTCGTAGTTTTGCTGCATTTTTTGCAGTGGTGACCACAAGTCACGTATGCACGACATTCTATGTAGCAGCGGCGCGAACTTTTTCAAATAATGTTGCATAAATTCACATACTTAAGCCCAAAAGAAATGATATTTCATCTACTTTATGATTCACTGACGCTTTTTATCCTAAAGGCTTTTACATCACGGAGATGCTTTGAAAACGCTTTAATGGTAATGGCATGACCGAACAGCTGTGTATGAATATACTACTTACACACTTCTTACTTATGCTCGAAATTGTAAAGAGCTGCGTGTGTCAAACTTCTGCGGACTACATCGCCGTGATTCTCGTTGACACATTCTGTTATTTTTTTATGGCCAAATGTTTGCATAGTATCAGGTCCTTTTAAAGGCCATTTTTCCATATCCACACTACCAGACACATTAGGATAAAACTCAGCAACAAGTACAATATTTTCGTAGGACTAGTGAGTCACTTTGAAAAAGTGCAGGCAGCCACTATTTATGCTCCATGCTATGCCTTGCGACAGCAAGTAAGAATGCATCGTTTACCTGGCCTCAAGACTAGGTATGAAAAGGCCTAAATAAAAAGTAATAAAAGCTTTCAAGTTAAGCAGTTTCAATGCATACAAAACATACATTTTTTTTCATATGTAACTTTATGTTATGTTATGTCTCAAGGGCTAGTTTTTCAATTTCTTATGAGGTAGATTAAGGAGCTTTGCCGTCGGTTAAGTAAAAAGCAAACAATGTTCCATTTTCCTCCTTTACGTTTCGATGTTTTTCACATCTTCCTCAGGGAGTCTGGTATTTATTGTAAACAACTTTATTGTGTTGTATACTTTTAGGTCCCATTTCTTTTCATTTGGAGAATTTTGGCAACGAAAATTCAGGGTAGAGATTGCCAGAATCGCACTGCTGGTTTACAAATCGGAACGTAAGGCCGTTTGTTCAATATCATGCTAAGGCAAACCGGAGGTAAAAGCTCCGGTTTAACTGGGAAGTAGAAATAGCCAGTCATTGATCAAATGGCCCCTAATGAACGATAGTTCACAGCACTCGCATAAAAATCTAACTAGTAATATGCAAAGGGTCAAAGGACACGTGGCTGAAAAAATAACCTTTGGGCCACCTTAATATACAAATAAACAATACATGAAAATACCATAAAAAAATTACACCTTTCCTACTTTTTGTGCGGTTTTGTGATACTCATTCTATTTTTAGGGTAATCTAGGACACCCTGTCTATGTATATTAGGCGGCCGCCGTGGTCGAGAGATAAGCAGTGCGCACTGGCACTTAGTAGGCTGCGGATTCCATTTCTGGTCCGAGCAACATCCAACAAAAGTTAGTTTTTCCAATAGTGGTCGCCCCTCGGCAGGCAATGGCTAACCTCCCAGTCGTCCGGAGTCTGCGTAAAACTGGAGATCCCTTCCCTTTTTTATGACAAGGGTAGGACGCACAGCTCAAATAGGAGGAGAAACCCGGCCAAGCGCTTATTGCTTACAATTTATAACGCCACTCCTTTACTTATCCAATTATCAAGTAGAATATTTTCTCTCGAACATTTTCTAAACTTTGGAAACTTACTTAATTTTCCTTCCTTCTTTTTCTTTTTTTTTTCCTATATATCACATTGCACATATTCGCCTGCAATTCAACGCTAACGTGTGGCCTGCTGCAGCTTCAACAACTGTTACTTGCTGTGGCAACACTAACATTATTGTCAATTGTCTGCAACGCTGCTGTAACCCAAACTTCATCAACAACCGGAGGGCGAACGTCAGCTGCGGATGCGCATGCCAGCCTTGCCCACAAAAACATAGCCCATGTCTATGCAAATCATGTGGGAAAACAGCAACAACTCCAACAATGGCCACACTATTATGATTTTCGTTTCGAGCGGAACAGCAGTAGTGGCAACAATAATAATGGCATTGCTACTCCCACAGCTACAGCTGCAGACCCAACAGCAGCATCGACAGTAGCAGAAAATGCAGCACGAAAAACAACTCGTCGAAGTTATGGTGGTGCCAGTGGTGGAGAATGGCAAAATGCTTACACTATTGGTGGGAGCGGTAGCGGCAGCGGCAGCGGCAGCAGTGGCAGTAGTTACAACTATGGGGCAGCAAAGCTTAATGGTCTCACAAATCTCTCGGGTTTGCGGCACATTAGTAGCGGCTTTGGCGGCAGTGCTGGTGGTGCAACGGCAAAACAACAAATACCAATTTACGAAGAACAGCAAGAAAACGATTATGGCGCCGGCACATTGGGTGCATCCGGCACAGCAGGACATAATGCTGGGGGAAACAATCAACACGGTGGCAGCAGCAGCAGCAGAAGCTTCGGTAGTAGCGGCAGCGGCAATGGCTTCGGCAGCAGCGGAGGCTGGGGTAGTAGCGGTAGTAGTAGTAGTAGCAACAGCAAGAGCTATAACTCTGCTAGTTCTCGCAGCAATGATGCCCTCAGTACGGCGCTATACAATTTGCACACAGCTGGCACACACAATGGCTTCCAGTCTTCCTTTGGTAGCAAATTTTCATCAGCGAACTCGGCAACTCCTCAATTCGAATACCAAGTACAGCAACAACCCCAGCAACAGCTGTTGAGCAACAAAATCCCCAATGGCAATTTTCAGCATCGTTACGATCATAATTCCGGCGGTTACGATGAACTTTCAGCCGCTGCTACTTACGCACATCAACAACACCAGCTGCCAACGGCATCCGGACTGCAGCATTTCGGAGCGCACGATGCTATCTCCTCCCACCACTCTGGCATGGATTCAGCAACTTCAAACGCTGACGTGGACATTTCATTTGTCCACCATCAGAGTGAACATCATGGTGGTGAGGGGGGTGAGGGTGGCGATGGCGGACATGACGAGGTAGAGGCTTCGGGACCATCATACGATGATTCCGCTAATTATCTAGCTGAGCAGCACTCAGGTGGTGGTGGTGGTGAGCACGCACCCGATGTTATTAACTACATTCCGTATCCGGTGGTGAAGAAGGTGCACGTTCCGGTGCGCGAGCCCGTCCAGATTCCCATTCAGCATGCGGTTATCGTGCCCGTCAACAAGCCAGTACCCATACACATTCCAGTCACTAAAACTAAGCCTGTGCCGGTTGAGAAGGAGCTCAGAGTACCCGTCGAACATGTGGTTCCATACCCGGTAGAGAGACCAATACCAGTGCCCGTGGAAAAGCGTGTCCCATTTGAGGTTATTAAGTATGTAACGGTCAAAGTACCGCATCCATTCCCTGTGAAGGTGCCAGTGTTCAAGACCATATTGCACAAGGTGAAGGGTGGCAAATGGTGAAGGCCATAGCGCAATTAGTGGCCGGCTTTGTTTGGTGCAGCTATTGTAAAGAAGAAAAGTACACAAATATTTTTTCATATACATATTAGTTTTTTAAGACACGTTCTGCCAATCATACAAATGCACACATTGTATTTATTTTATACTTTTTTTATCGACAACTAAACGAATAAATTTAAACGATATTTATTTTATCTTGTAACGAAAGCTAAGTCGATTAGTTTTTATATTTGCAAAAAAAAGTCTACGATTTAGTAAGTTTGATAGTCTCTGTTTAACAACGAGTGTTTCTTGTCACTTGTTTTAGGAAATGCTGCACTTCAAAGACGCCTTGCGAACACAGTGAAACTATTCTAATTCCGTATTGGTTCTCAAAAATTAAGCTGAAGATACGATAATGCCGAAACTGGTGTGTTATGGGTGTGGAAAGGGTACCGGAGATGCTCTTGCTAACTTCCGCGAAACTATTCCAATAATATTTGTTGAAGTTTGTAAATTTTCAGTGATCCAGAGAAGCAGTCAGCTTATTAGTCGTCCGATGCGGATGTTGGCATAGACTGCTATGTTAGCTACTCAGCCATTGCTCCTTGGACGAAAAACGCCGATCTAAACGACGTTAGGTCGCCGGAACAAGAACCCGGAAAACCTTAGTCATTCAGGTGCATAGAACGGCCTGTCTTGCAAATGTAGGTATGCAGAAAACTTCCCTTGCATCTGCCTACTCCCCAGACGACGTCCCAATAATGGCATTGGAGGTACAGCAGCTCGCCGAATTCTGTCGAACCTGTTATTTGGGGCAGCTCTTAAAAAAAAATCATTCAAAATAATATAGATTTTGCGAACAGAGGATGCAAACTAACATTTATTACTTGCACCAGGTAAGGTGGAAATAGTGGAGCTCACTCTCTGCAGCAGATCAATATCTTAGATTATGTATATGGAATTAGCAAGTCTCGGATGAAGCATCGCTCTCGGATCATTAGCATATCAAGTCGAACTACGTAACTTGATTTTCCCGCCCAGAAAAACTGAATGTTGTTTTTTTTATTTTAGTGAAGAGGAGTGCAAACTCTTTGCTAAGCACCATTAATTCAATCGATAATGCTGATTGCCGCGAATCTGCTCAAAAGTGTCTTGCTGGAATCCGTCAAGGATATCGCAATTTTTGGTTCCCACTTGATCTCTCTCGTAGAACGGGGAAGGAAGCCTTTCAAGAGGTCCAAAAGATCAAGAGGCTACTGAGGCCACTGACTAAAACAAACTTATGGGACGCGCAAAGAGGGCATCGTGTAGGCAGAAATGCGAGTCAATACAGAAGTTGCCTGATACCACGAAGCAGTAGAGTCGTACGAACTCTTAATTAAATATTGTTGACAATACCTACCATACACTTACAGAAAGGTATCATGTAATTTATTCCCAAATCAAAAAACAGAAGCTTTCATTTAGCTAAATTATGCAAACCTATTACAACAACTTCCTTCATAGTCAAAAAATAATACAGGCACGGTACACCTCCATATTAGGTAAAACCAGATCTCGCCTACTTCCTTACATTGCACACAATTTGCTTATGCCAAAGGGAAACCAATTGATTTGGCATTACTTTGTGTGGTTAGTAAGATCGCAAACACATTTGAGGCAAAACAAATTGCTCTGTGTACGAGGGTGATTTGGATAATACTGCCTATGTTTCTATCACAAAAGCATTGGTCTAAACTTGCATAGCCCCATCTACTATGGAAAAAATCAACGCTTTGCTTCGTAAGCGGGGAATCACATCGTCCTTGGGTAACCCTCTGATCTGCCAATTATAGTTACGCCAGTACTGTATCGGACGTTACAAGGGGAAATCTTCCTATGGTCTTTAACTAATGTGTCAATGACGAGCTTAGTATAACTCCTCAGAAGGTTGTTGTTGTACCGTTTACAACAAATTAAAAAACAATCCTTAGTTCGGACACTTTTGAAATGACTGAGCTGGAATACTTCGACGACATCAAGTATCTATGCATCACCCTTTACAAAAGACTTAATTAGAACCCCCATGTCTGAACAGAATTTTTTAAAGCCAAATGGACAATGTGAGCTTGTAGAAGACTTTAAGGCTGACAGAGTGGCTTTACCGCGTAATCGTATGTCCGATTGTCTTAAGCATCCGTAGTTTCGTGGCCGAAGACTCTGTCACACTAGATCTTAACAACTTCCCTGTCCTCATACAATGCATTTTGTTAATGCCCCACGTCCACTGGTTTTTTGCTCTAATATGCCAAAGAACGTCCATATATACCATAACATATAATTTTTATAAATTGTTATATACTGCTTTAAGTTGTTTTTGTTATTTTATTTTATGACTCATATGTGACTCATGGACGTAGGACGAAACAGTTTCTTTGCCACGTTCAATGAATAACATGTGAACAAATCGAGCAAAGTTGTTTTTGAGTTACATTTAGGGATGTTCCGATACAAGTAAATACGAGTATGTACTCGATGCTTTTTTTTTCGATAAAAACTACTTTTTTACTCGAATCGTTGTTTCTATACCTACTTGGTATTGGAGTGCAAGGTGGCAAAGTCTTTCTGGCCACGGGTGGACCGGGGGCGGTCTGGGAAGATCTTGAGACTAAGCAAGCTGCATCTCTCACTATTGGTGGCAGTGCTTACTGGTCACTGTGTGATTGGTAACCATGCTGTAAGGCTGAATGTTGCGGATAACCCTTACTGCACCAGCTGCATGGAGGATAATGAGGTGGAATCATCTCAACATCTGCTGCTCTGGTGCCCCACCTTTGCGAGCCTAGGGTTTAAGCACCTTGGGTCGCACTTTTTTCACACTCCCGATGAGCTCTCGGGAGTGGACGTCAGTCGACTGAAGAGCTTCGTTGTGAGCACGGAGCGTTTCTCCGGCAAAAAGCCATAGGCGTCGTCCTTCTTCCATAGCTTCCTCCCTCTTTCCCCTCCCTGCGTCCCTTTTTCCCTCCCCCCTCTGAGGGCATCACAGCGGACAGCTAAGTCGAGTCCAAGTGTTCCTCCACATGCGGAGGCAGCCCGCTTACCTAACCTAACCTAACCTAACCTAACCTAACCTATATTTATTGTGCGCTTTTCTTTTTACTAAAAGAGAACTTTCGGGAAAAAAAACTCGAAATTTTCTTTCATATAGTTTTACGTTAGGTTTTTTGCCGTACGTCCACGTATCATTTAAAAAAATATCGCGTACTGTTCACACCAAAAAATTTGTCCGAAATTGTACACAAAAATGAGTCACATGTGACTAATGAACTTATTTCAACACGCTCTCGTGAGTCACATATGACTCATTGGACAGGGAAGTTGTTAATAACCTACACAGATTAGTATATCTCCCCGCGACTAGATTAATAAAAAAAAAAGTAAGTGCGCCTGGGCCGCACTGGAGAAGTGAAACTTACATATACATACTTACATATCAATTTTGTCTCATAACCATAAAACATACATACAACTAAACATATGTGCAACTTCCGCTGAATTTGGCAAATTACTCCCTACCAACCAACCGCCGCTAAAGAGGTTTCTCTACAAAAACTTGCACAACTGCGGCTCTGAGTCGTTTCCAGCCAGGATTCGTCTTCATATTTTATTCACGAAACAACAGTCAAGATAAAACTTCAACTACGACTATCTAACGGCTATTTTTACACAAAGAAGCTTCAGTGCGGCATTCTTAAGAAGATTCCAGAGTTGGAAATGATGGAACTTCTGGTTCCGTAACTAAAGAGATCAATTATGGCAGGAAGTTCCAAGGTATAATCCCATATCGCGAAGATTGGTGCACCGGCGTTTCCAGGATGGAGGGCAGAGAAGGTGCAGTTGTCCATGCACCCGATATCAAACTCAAAATATCCATGGATAAATGGCATACGGTGTTCCACGCTGAAGTTTTAGCAATATTAAGCGGGGCTAAATAAAATTTTCTTAGGTCGCCAAGCAGTCATAATGGCCTTCTCAAACGGGATGATGAAATCCAAACTTGTTAATAACTTTTTCAACATGCTTCAAATTCTGGCAGAAAACAAATGCAGAAACACCGTGCCGGGTGCCGGGCTACTGTGAGTTAGCCTGTAACCATTCTGTGTAGCTATCTGTGATATCAGCTGGTCCTCTTCGAGGATCATAATTTCTGAGTGGGTACATTCTATACAAAGTAAGTACTGGGAGGCGGTGAAGGGACATAGAGAGGGCAGGCTCATCGGCTAACCTTTTAATATATCGGATATTATTCAGTTTGACGCAAATCACATTAGACTACCCTTCCTGATGCGACACAACCAACTCCGATTTCATATGCACCGAATAGGTTGTATTCCTTGAGAACGAGGAAACTTCTGAACACATTTGTCTTATCTGGACAACCACAAATTTATGAATATAAATATATGAATGCATAAGTTCATTTTTACATATGCATATATGTATATTAGGGCGGGTCGAAAATCTAATTTTTCTCAAATCCCTTGATTATAGTGAAAATATATTGTATTATGAAGTCAACAAAAGACTAATAAGACCAATTCTTGTTAAAAATTCTAGGTTCAGCAAAAAGATTTGGTGGATATTATTAGATAATGAATCCGTTAACGCAAAAAATAAAGTCAAATATCATTTCTCGCGGCCCTTTACCTTATTTAATTTTACTGGACTATAGTCAAAAGATGTAAAGAACAGCACTAATATTGCTGGGGTGCATTTAGATCGCTGGTTCCAAATATTCTAGTATTTTTATTTTTAATAATAGCAAATTTAGGAACAATTTCGGTAGCTCTAATAGAAAAACTATTATTTTCCATCATCGTGGAAAAATTTTGTTTATGTAAATCAGTATGGAAGCACTGAACAGGCACAACTTCTAGAAAAAACAATTAGTTTACTTATATTTATGCATATATAATATAAAAATTGCAAATATAGGAAAATTATAAAAAAATTTGTTCAACATTTTTTTTTTTTTAACG